AACACAAATTACAAAGTGGTTCCACTGGACCTGCAGAAGCAGGTGTGACTTGATTCTGAACTTTAGCACATCCTTCACTTCATACAAGCTAGTATTTTTCTTTCTTTCTTTTTTTTTTTTTAGTGTTTTTCTTAAATGATACTTTTAAAACAAATTACCCACCACATTTATCACATTACAGAACAGTTTTGTGGACAGATGAGCTCTTTGAGGTTTTCTGGTCCAGTGTTCCCTCCAGTCATGATCATTTGTATACTGTTTTCCCTGCAACATTGTATTCTTAATCAGTCAGTTCAGTTCAGTTCAGTCAGCTCAGTCGTGTCCAACTCTTTACGACCCTATGAATCACAGCACGCCAGGCCTCCCTGTCCATCACCAACTCCCGGAGTTTACTCAAACTCATGTCCATCGAGTCGGTGATGCCATCCAGCCATCTCATCCTCTGTCATCCCCTTCTCCTCCTGCCCCCTATCCCTCCCAGCATCAGGGTCTGTTCCAAAGAGTCAACTCTCCGCATGAGGTGGCCAAAGTATTGGAGTTTCAGCTTCAGCATCAGTCCTTCCAATGAATACCCAGGACTGATCTCCTTTAGGATGGACTGGTTGGATCTCCTTGCAGTCCAAGGGACTCTCAAGAATCTTCTCCAACACCACAGTTTAAAAGCATCAATTCTTTGGCGCTCGGCTTTCTTCACAGTCCAACTCTCACATCCATACATGACTACTGGAAAAACCATAGCCTTGACTAGACGGACCTTTGTTGGCAAAGTGATGTCTCTGCTTTATAATATGCTGTCTAGGTTGGTCATAACTTTCCTTCCAAGGAGTAAGCGTCTTTTAATTTCATGGCTGCAATCACCATCTGCAGTGATTTTGGAGCCCCAAAAAATAGTCTGACACTGTTTCCACTGTTTCCCCATCTATTTCCCATGAAGTGATGGGACCAGATGCCATGATCTTCGTTTTCTGTATGTTGAGCTTTAAGCCAACTTTTTCACTCTCCTCTTTCACTTTCTTCAAGAGGCTTTTTAGTTCCTCTTTACTTTCTGCCATAAGGGTGGTGTCATCTGCATATCTGAGGTTATTATTTCCAGCTTGTGCTTCTTCCAGCCCAGCGTTTCTCATGATGTACTCTAGTTTTCTCCCTTTTATTCAACCTTTTATTATGAACAAGTTCAGTGATACTCTCAGATATCCAACTCCAAAGGCAGTCAGCTCTTGGTTATTCTTTTTCTGGTAAAGTTTTCTTTTTTTATGATTTTTAAATTAAAAAAAAAATTTAAATCTTTATTGAATCTTTGTTACAATATTGTGTCTGTTGTATGTTTTGGTTTTTGGTTTTGAGGCATGTGGGATCTTAACTCGCTGACCAGGGGTCAAACCCCAGCCCCTTATATTGGAAGGTGAAGTCTTAACCAATCGACTGCAGGAAAGTCTCTGTTGGTCACTTTTGTTTCAGTTTTACTCTCATTGACCTTCTCTTTCATGGATTAATTTGAAGTAAATCCTAGACATACTATCATTTTATCTGTGAACAACTTAATACCTCTAAAAATTAAAATTATTCATTTCTTTTAAATTGTAATGTTATTTTAAAATTAGAAATATTTGGACATGAGTTTGAGCAAGTTCCTGGAGTTGGTGATGGACAGCGAGGCCTGGCGTGCTGCAGTCCATGGGGTCACAGAGTCGGACAGGACTGAGCAACTGAGCTGAACTGATACATGTTTGTGACATGAAACAATACAAATACACACCATTTCAAAGTTATTTTGTCATGGTTAGTCAAATAGTTATTCCTCCTACTGTTGTTTCATTGATGCAACATTATAAATGGTTGAATGCTTTTTTCCATACTGCTCTTCATTTGTGTAACATCCTATATATATAATAATAGTTTTTGTATTTTACAAAACCTATATTGTATGTATTACTCAAATTTGCCTGTTGTTGTTCAGTCGCTAAGTCGTGTCCTACTCTTTGTGACCCCATGGCACACCAGGCTTCCCTGTCCTTTATCTCCTGGAGTTTGCTCAAACTCATCTCCATTGAGTCAGTGATGCCATCCAGCCATCTCATTCTCTGTTGCCCCCTTCTCCTCCTGCCCTCAATCTTTCTCAGCATCAGGGTCTTTTCCAATGAGTCGGCTCTTTGCATCAGGTAGCCAAAGTATTGGAGCTTCAGCATCTTTCCCACTGATGAATATTCAGGGTTTATTTCCTTTAGGATTGACTGCTTGGATCTCCTTGCAGTCCAAGGGACTCTCAAGAGTCTTCTCTAGCACCACAGTTTGAAAGCATTAATTCTTCAGGCTCAGCTTTCTTTATGGTCCAACTCTCACATCCATACATGACTGCTGGAAAAACCATAGCTTTGACTATGTGGACCTTTGTTGGCAAAGTGATGTCTCTGATTTTTAATATACTGTCTAGGTATGCCTCCCTGCTCCCAAAGTTATATTTATTAAGGTAAAATATACATAAAACATATGTATATATATATATGTGTATATATGTATATATATGTATATATGGTTTGGTGAGTTTTGACATATACAGTCATATAATATACCCTTACAATCAAGATTTTCTTCACCCCAGTGAGTTCTCTCATACTCTTTTTATAGTCAATCACTTCCCAATTCCTAAACACCATTTCTTTCTTCTATGGTGCTATAGTTTTGCCTCTCTGTTGGATTGGCCAAGAAGTTCATTTGTGTTGTCAACCCAGTTCAGTCCCTAGTTGGGGCACTAAAATCTTGCAAGCTGTGTGGTGCAGCCAAAAAAAAAAAGAAAAGTCAAGGTCACAAAAGACAAGGGAAAAATGAGGAACCAGCTGGACTAAAGAAATATGACTACGAAATGAAACTTGTTATCCCGGATTCGATCCTGGACCAGAACAAGGAAAAAAAAACAACAACAAACACTGTTTCCAATGAAGAATTGGTACAGGACTTCCCTGGTGGTCCAGTGGTTAAGAATCCCCCCACCAATGCAGGGGACAGGGGTTCAATCCCTGGTCTGGGAAGATCTCACATGCCGAGGAGCAACTAAGCCTGTACACCACAACTACTGAGCCCATGAGCCCTAGAGCCCGTCCTCTGAACCTAGAGAAGCCACTGCAGTGAGAAGCCCACATATCGCAACAAAGAGTTGCAATAGGAATCGTTGTGATTTTCTTTAGGATTGACTGGTTTAATCTCCTTGCTGTCCAAGGGACTCTCAAGAGTCTTCTCCAGCACTGCCCTTCACTATCTCCTGGAGTTTGCTCAAATTCATGGCCATTGAGTCAGTAATGCCGTCCAACCTGCCACAACTAGAGAAAGCCCACACGGCAACGATGACCCAGCGCAGCCAAAAAATAAATAGAGTCAGTACAATAAGTACCCTAAATTTCGGTTCCATGGGAATTCAGGCACAAGACTTCATCCTCCAAGAAACGGGGAGAATCTCTTCATACTTGTTCTTTGCAGTGTTGAATGATTTTCCAAGTGTTAATTGATTGCTTGTATTTTCTCTGCTATGAATTATTACCTGCCATGTCACTTATGTATTTGTTTCTGCCTTGTAGTCATTTCTCAGTCTTGTTAATTTTTTTCTTTTGTTTCAGTTTTTATAACAATAAAACAGCCTTCCTTGTTTAAAAAATAAATACAAACCACATAAAAGGACGCAGAGAGAATGAGAGCCCCTCTCATCTCCATATCCCACTCTCCAGATGTTCTTCTCCCTCTCATTTCATTTTTTAAAGTTTGCCTCCCACTCTTTTCCCTTCCTTTTATTCTTTAAAAATTTCTAAATATTTCCGTGAAATGAACTACTCATGCAGCAGAAGGATTTCTCTTAATGGACTAGGAAAGGAACATCTACAGTGGGAAAAGAAACCTGTATGTTAACCTCTGTAGATTTCTTGATAGACTTATGTTCAAAACATACATGTTTATATTTAAGAATTTTTAAAGTATAAAGACCTTTATAGCAAAGCACATACATAACTGACATGTAATCAGAAATAAGACCACAACTACTTACTGTGAGTAGCAGCTTAAATTCTAGGATCCATAAATTGTTAAATAAATGGAAACCATTACAGAGTTCTTTGCTGTTATCCTTTGATTAATAAACAAAAAAAATTGGACTTCCCTGGTGACCCAGTGGTAAAGAATCTGCCCTGCAATGCAGGGGACCTGGGTTTAATCCCTGATCTGGGAAGATTCCACATGCTGCGGGGCAACTAAGCCCATGGCCACAAGACCCAATACAGCCAAAAAATAAATAATTTTTTTAACTGTAAGAGTTTTTCTACCTTTTTGTGTTTAGTGTGACTGTATCTGGCTAAACTCTGTGTGGTGTAGTTTGGGAGTAGAGGTGTGTCTTCTCTTACAAGGTTGACTAGCTGAGTCTTTTGTTTTTTCATCCTCCATAGAAGAACAGAATGTTAGAACTAATGGGCCACTGGAAATTCTTTTGTGACTTTATTTTATAGGTGAGAAAGAAATGCGTGGAATATAATAGGCCTAAGATGAGGCCCTTGTAGAATAAATTACCAGTTCCTAACCCTACTCCAGTTAGTGACATTTGCCTTCTATTATTTCAGGAAAGGAAGCCGAATGCTAATAGGGAAGCCTTCCCTCATGCATCTAACAAGTGAAGGAAACATGTATTGAATGTTTAAGGTCTGGCGCGCACACAGTGTTGTTTAATACTTTAACTCTCAGGTCTCCGCAGGAAGAGGAGTCATTCAGGCCATAAGTGATTTGTAAATTAGTAACTGTGGGACTTCCCCGGTGGGCCAGTGGTTGAGACTCCACCCTTCACATGCAAGGGGGACGGGTTCAATCCATATGGTGATGTACCCTTGGTCTTTTCTCACTGCCTCTTGGGAAAGCCAGTTGCTTTAGCTTCACTGGAGCGTGGGAATGTGACCTGCAGGATGAGAAATCCGCCTGTCTGAGGGCTTGTTATGAACTGAACTTTTTTTTGTGTGTGTGTTTTTTTCCAGCTGGAAGAAGAGAGATCTGTACTCAATAATCAGTTGTTAGAAATGAAAAAGAGGTAGGCTTTTCTTTTTGTGTATATTGTTTTGTGTGTGTGTGTGTGTGTGTGTGCGTGTTTAATAAGGAAAATGTCGGAACATGCTGTGTGTGAAGTGACTTCTAGAAAACATACGACCTTCTTATACTCAGAAAATTGCATCGTGATAGTTTGGTACTCATAATTGACAAATTTGCAAAGTTTCAGTATGAATTACTAACAGAAGATTTTTTATTTTTTAAGTCATGTTCAGTTGCATTTATTCAGAAGTATCCTAAAGTCAGATTGTCTCATAGCACATACTGCTGTATCTCCTAGTTTCAGTAACTAAAAATACTGCCATTTTACCTAGAGTAGTTGATCTGCATATAAATACTGATTTCAGTTATATAAAAAGTTTAATTTTTTCACAGTAACAGGAAGCACCATTTGAAACATTTCTATTTTTTTTTTTTTCTGAAAAAGAGGTTTGTTATTTGTTAATTCTTTGATGATAATCAAATGCTATGCAAATGGAAGTTTCCAGGACTTTTTGAGTAAAGATAAATGGGCCCCCAGGAATAATCATATAGAAGCCTGATGCTTATGCTTTCTGATGGTCTCTGTCTGCTCTTTTAAAATGTGCAGTTTGTGTGTAGAGAAGCTCTCTGCTTTACTCTGCATGCCAAGCAGGTTTAGCGTGCACTGTTGCTAAGACCCACAGGCTGTACAGCAGTTTGCTATAGAGTACATCACAACAGTGATGTGCTTTTTTCTGTCTTATTAAATGCGAAAAGAAGAATAAACCTTTAGAAATAGTACAATCAAGAATTCCTGGGGAATTCCCTCACAGTCCAGTGATTAAGACTCCTGGCTTCCCCGACAGGGGCACGAGTTTGAATTCCACATGGTGCTTCTGCAGCACGGCCAAAAGTAAATAAGTTTTTTGAGAAGAATTTCTGTATACCTCAAATTAAAAAACATAAGAAAATAGGGAAGAAAAATTCCTTCACAGTCTTGCAGAGCACCCTATTCTCGACTGTCAGGGCAGAGGGAGTTTCCCTTGTTGACCACTGACACAGGTGTTTACGCGGACAATGTTCCTCCCGAGAGCATGGCAGTTGCTGCAGAATCTAGGGCCTTGTTTAGCCCACAAAGATATTTGGGTTCCATAAGCTACATTCTAAAGGAAATTAGGCCTCAGTCCAGGGGTGCCTTCCTCTTTTCTTTTTTTAAGACCTCCTTAAACTCTTTCTTCTTTAAAGTTTCACATCAGACTGCATATGTGTTTCACAACCACCACACCCCTGGTCCAGCCAGGTGTTCACCAAGTGGCCCTCGTGAGCTGTAGTGACTGGCCTGCTATGACTTACCCTGGGCCTGGGTACAAGCACAGTTCCGCCCGTGGGGGCCTTGGGATATTTAATTTTAAGAACCCGATATATGCAGTTATCAAGGGTATGTGAAAACGTAATAGCACTTACTCTTGAGGCATTCTGGTAAGGGAATGTATAAACATCAGCAGATGTGAATACTGATGTAATTAGTCCCTTTGCATTTATGTAGCACTTGTAATTCATAGATTTCTCATATCTCTAAATAAACCATTGAAGTGTATTTTGGGGCTTGCATTTAAAAATAATGAAACCCAAACTTGGGCAACTTGGTTAAAAACTTAGATGCAGGCACAAGACCCAGGACTTCCAATCTTCTTACATGGGGTCTTTTCTCATTGTACATTTAATGTTTGTTTATTTTTACTTTTTAATATTTTTTAAAAAGAAAGATGAGAGGCTTTGTTAGTCCTTTCCTTGTGACTTTGACTAAATTACATGCCTCTCCAAGTGTCATTAGACATGTGACTTTTTTCCCAGGCTTTAAAAGATAGAACAAATTTGGATACTTGTCTGCCCTCTCTCCTTATTTCATTCTGCTCCCCTCTTAGGTCCTGGGTATGCTTAAGAGACTCTTAAATTACTGAAAATTATTCTTTCAATTGAAAAATGCAGATAAAGATAATTTTTTCTGGGAGTGAACAAATTTTAAACATAGTTTCTGATATTTAGAACTTTGGTGGGGGAGGGGTTCAAATTGTTAATTAACCCTTATGGAAAATTTGGTCTCTTTGAGAAGTCTGGATGCAAATATGCTTTAGCTAATTTGGGGGGACCATGAATGCATTCTGAAAGTCAGTTTTGTAAAGGATTTGTATGTAGATCTAGGTATGTAACAGTTAAGTACATGTAGCATAGAGTACTAAAAAGAATTGGATACTTCCTTATAAGTCTGGAGTGACTTCTCTGGCAGTCCTATGGTTAGGTCTTTGTCTTCCAACGCAGAGGGTGGGGGTTCTGTCTCTCCATCTTGGAGAGCTAAGATCCCACTCATATGCCTTGTGGTCAAAAAGCCAAAACATTAAAAAAAAGCAATATTATAGAAAGATCAATAAAGACTTTAAATATGGTCCACATTAAAAAAAAAACCTTAAAAAAAAATCTGGAAACTACTTAAAAATCACAAAAGATATTTGAAATGTGGTTGTTCAAGCAAGAACTGAGATCTTACTCAACATACATAGCTAAGAAAGAATATAATTGCTTCATTCAGACTATATTGTTCATTATTTTGAAGTGCAGTACTTACTCCTGACATGGGATGAAACTAAATACTTATCATTAAGACATTAGTATCCCCTTCTTCTATTTGTTCTGGTTTTTTTTGCTATCTAACATTGAATCGCAGGCAACATGCAGTGAAATTTTTTCTCTTAGCCTGAAAATGTAATCATTTCTTTGGAAAACCAGACTCCGAGTTAGGCAGACCTCCTTCAAAGCAATTTCCAAGGCATCCAGTAGCTGAAGCAGGGCTAACCTCGACTTGCTCTAATTGACAGAAGGAGAGAAACATGTTCCTCTGGCCAGAAAGCCTATGGCAGATTCGGGAACCAGTTTGGCTTCCCTCCCTTTTGTAGGCTTTTTGATGTCAGAGAAGGGAGCCCAGAGCCAAAATCTTAGATGTGGGCTGTAGAGTCAGGATTAATTCTGCGGGCGACCCCCCAAGATTCCCATCAGGAAGGAAGACTGGTGGGCAGTCCCGCCTGCCAGTCCTGAAGAGGTCACGGCCCCTCCAGCTCACTCCGCTCGCTGTGGGTTGCTAAGTGTCTGACTGTCTCGAGCTTGTGCTACTTATCAATGCTCATCTCACCCCCTCTCTTTTCCCTTTCCTACACTTGCTTCCTTTGCTCTATCTGTGTGTCTTTAATGGTAAGACTAAAGAAAGTCTATCCACGTTATAATAAATAAATTTCATATACTTTTTAGTAAACCAAGTTGTTGTATATATTTTTTGGCTGCCTTTGTCCCTCTGTGTCTTGCTTTTGTTTTGAAAAATATCCTCAGCAGTATACACACACACACACGCGCGCGCACGCACATATCTTTTTATATCTCTATATACAGCACAGAACTTCAGTGCAAATTTAGTTCTCCTTGCTGTATTTGCAGTTCTCTTCATGTTCCTAATATTTGGTTCTTGTTATCTTGCATTTTTAAAGCTTGCCCCGTAACACTTTAAGGTATTTCCTTCATTACCGGAATTTATTTCTTATGTAAGTAGTAAGGAAAGAATCTGGGTTATACGTTCTCTCGGGGGAAAGATTTCTGGCCCCTGAAGCCCTTCTTTCATGTTATGTTTATCTTCCCTCCTTGATATTTTTAGTAAGGCCAAGTCACTCAAGCCAGAGTGGCTTTAAAGTAACACAGGCCCTCATGTCAATGTGATGTGTGACTCAGGTGTCAGTCATGTTGGCAGAACTGGTTTAGTTTAGACCATCTTCGTTTGCACAGTAGGATTTGAGCTCAGGAATCGCCTAAGATGCTGACATTGAAGACCTGTCACCAAGAGGAGCTGCCAGGGTCTATTTGTCCCTTCAGAATTTGGTATACAAATCACAAGTCAGATCCGTTTCTTAACCACCCACCTTTTGATGACTTTTGTCCAAGAAATATCTGTTTGCTATCTTCTTAGAAGGCATCCTCGCTTAGAGGCCATATGTATGTGGGGATAAGCAAACAAAGACACCTGTGCCTTTTTCTTCTGCCAGCTGATGGCATCCTTATCCTCCCTAACACACAGATTTAGAAGAATCTAAATCTGCTAATTCCCCAATCCTGGTATTTCTCAGTAAAAATATTTAAAATCACATTGTTCAAATTTGAGTTGAATTTACAAGTGAATCTCTTGAAATTGTTTGCTTTGAAATAATTCCTTTATTTTTTTACAAAGAAGCAAAGTAAAAATGGCCAAATCATGGAAATACAAGCTCTTACTTTTAGTGGCCTTATTACACTTTGCCTAATGTGCTGTATATAGCAAGGAATTGAAATAGATTTTACAATAGAATGAACTACCAAATATCCTTTAATAGAAACATAAGGAGCAGAAGATATATTGAATCTTCAGATAAAAACAGATATTTACTTTCCAGATAGAAAAAGATGCCTATACATTCCTTTCACTTAAAGGGAATTTTTTCTTTGGGGGTTTTTTGTTTTACTTAAACACGATCCTCTTTCGTAGTGAGGTGTCATGCAGTTAGTAATTTAACAGCACCAAGTGTTCATATGACACTTGGGTGTTGAATTCAAGACATTATCTGTAAGTCTCATCTTTTCTTACTACTTATTCTGGGGTGTAAGTGTAAGCCACACACTGAGATAAATACAACACTTATATTTTCCATCTTTGTGTAGAACTTCAATTTACCATAAACCATGAGAATTCTATAATTCGTGTGCCGGATATCTTGGGTCTCACTAACCAGACATACATTCTGCCATTTCTAACCTGGGCCTCCGTTTCTGATCCCTCCAGTCGGTTCTAAGACAGACCGAACCACTACACGCTCCATGTTCACCCAGTTCCTCCCAACAGAACCGGGAGCGATTTTTCTCTTTGCACCATGAACTCTCACCAATGGTTATCCATGTGAAGGCAGTGCCTTAGGTTGTAAGACCCAAGGGCTAGCTAGGAAATTTTCCTCCAGTAATGTTTTTCCCCAAATATTTTTGTGATACAAGGTCTTTTTTCCTCTTGTTTCACACTGCATGTAATTAAAAAAAAACCAACTTATTTCAAAATTTGAGGTTTCCAGGAGCCGCAAATCTAGTACAGAGGGTCCTACATTCCCTTCTCTCATCTTCCCTTCACATGCCCATCTTAGCACCCCTGGTCCTTTGATCCAAACTGAGAGAGTAACATTGGTCCAGACCTCTTAGCCAAAGTCTAGACGTTGTTAAGATTTCCCGAGTTTTTCCACTCATGTCCTTTTTCCTCTCCCAGGATCCAATCTAGGAGACCCCATCGCCTTTAATTGTCACATCCCCTTAGTCTCCTCCAATCTGTGACACCTCCTCAGTCTTTCCTTGGCTTTCGTGACACTAGCACTTTTGAATTTCACCACAAAAATGTAAATAAAAGCACACATTTATAAACACACAGTAGCCTCCTGCCCTCTGAGGTCGTCTCTGTTGTGTCCCTCCTTCCCTGTCTTCCCTTCATCTCTCCCTTTCTCTTCCCACTCCCCTGACTCCAAGAAACATCTTCCTCTCCTGGAAAGCCTGGTGCCCTCCCTGTGCTGATAACCAGATGCTGGGGCGGCCTGAGAACAGGCTCCCTCCAGGTGTCCCCCCAAGCTTCCATTCTGCAGCTGGAAATCCATCTTCACATTTCTGTCCTAGCTTTTTTGGTAATTTACCTTTCATTTCTATGAGCAAGTGAAGGTCCTCTTCAGAGTCTTTATGGACGAAAAGTAATGATCCTTCAGTTTGAATAGTGGTCATAATCTTTACTACTGTTTTGGCCCATAAGATCTCCAAAACACACTCTGGGAACTTGCTCCAAGTTACTGAAATTAGTGAGAACCAATCGATACTTCCAGCATAAAACTGCTCTGCATGATGTCTGTATAATCGCTTTGCATGTGTGTATTTTAATTGTTGTTATTGCCTGGTAATCAAGAAATAACAGAATTCATCTGGGAGGGGGGTTAGATTTTTTTTTTTTTAATAATTCTTTGCGGGGTGCAACAGTCTTGTTTTTTTAATTCGTCTTCCGAAGTTATTAACTTGTTTCTTTAAATTCAAACGGATACAATGATATGCAGATTCTGGTATATCTCTGCATAGGTAAACTTTTTCTCCCCTCACAGTAAGTAAAACTTCAAGTAAAATTTCACCAGCATAATAGCCTTAACCCCCCTGTAGAACTTCCCTGTGATACTTTCTCCCCTTACATTAAGCTAAAGTTAATTGAGTGTTTTTCTCTGACCCTTGTACTCTGACCACCCTCTTGGTTGATTTCTGGAATTTTTTTGAAGTCTTTGGTCTTTTAGAGAATCCAAGTTAATAAAAGACGCAGATGAAGAAAAAGCTTCCTTGCAGAAATCCATCAGTTTCACTAGTGCCTTACTCACAGAAAAGGATGCGGAGCTGGAAAAGCTAAGAAATGAGGTAGGGTACCCGCCTCAGGGAGCCTTCCCACGGCCTGCCTGCGCCCGGGCCGAGCCTAAGCCAGCCCATGTGTTTCAGGTCACGGTGCTCAGGGGAGAGAACGCGTCCGCCAAGTCCTTGCATTCAGTTGTTGAGTCTCTAGAGACTGATAAGGTGAAGCTTGAGCTCAAGGTAAAGAACTTGGAGCTTCAACTCAAAGAAAACAAGATGCAGCTCAGCAGCTCCTCAGGTAACGTGACCGCCGCCGCCTCCAGGGAGGAGCTCTTCCCGGGGTAGAGCTGCCCTTGGAAGGAGGCACCTGCGCCGCCCCCCCACCCCCGACGGGGCCCCCGCGCCTGGGCTCTCCCGCGCCTTCATCCAGGGAGACCCCACTCAAGGGGGCGTGCCTGCCTCTCTGCACTTCCGGACCTTCCCGCGGCCCTGAGCATTGGCGGAAATCTTATCTGAGACAGTAGGGCACCGCTGCCATGTCGGGAGCGACCGTGGGTTCTGAGTGCCCTGCCGGGAGGAGAACATGACGGACGTGACAGGCCACCCACCCAGCAGAGGGCCAGCCCGAGAGGGCGCCGCCGTGCCTTAGGGGGCCAGATATGGGACCGGAACTGCAGACGTGTGCTCAGAGGCGCCTCTGGGGATTCCACACCAGAATGAGTTTCTCCCGCTGGCCCTTTCGTTGTAAGAACAAGGAAACAAGATGGGATGGCAATTTTTTAAAATATCCCCCCTCCCCGTTTTTTTTCTTAACATAAGGTAATACTGATACTCAGGCAGAAGAGGACGAAAGAGCCCAGGAGAGTCGGGTAATATGCCTTCCTTTTGATTTGCTTTTTTGTTTAATCCTTTAATCTTTTGACTAGGTAATGTATTCATATGGTCTGAACATTGAACAGTACTAAAAATATATACACGGTAAAAAAAAACACAAAAACTGTCCCTGCAAACAGCATCCCTCTCCTACTCAGTTTCCAACCCCCTAAACAGATAATCAGGGTTGTTACTGTCTTTAATTTTTTTCAGAGATTTTTTTTTTAATGTATATACAAACCAAGACTAATAGTCTTTCCTCTCCTTTGTTACACAAATGGCATATAAACTGATCTCTTATTTTTTACAGGTGTATAGTATTCTGTTATATGGAGATATATATACACACACACACACACACACACACACCATAATTTAATCAGTCCTTATTAGTTGACATGACTTTTGGGATGTTTCTGATCTTTTAGATGCATTATAAACAATGCTATAGTGTACTGTCTTGCACAGCTATCATATTATAGCTGTACTGATATTTCTTTAGGATTAATTCCTAGAAGTAGAATTACTCTGTTAAAGGTTCCTTCCTCATCTTTACCTTAAAAAGACAGTTCTTGAAAACTGTTTCCTAAAGCCAAAATTATCAAAAGAGCTTTAACTGTAAAAGTGGGATTACATGGAGGTAAGCTATTCTATTTTTGGAAACGGATGGCATCACGGACTTAATGGACATGAGTTTGAGTAAACTCCGGGAGTTGGTGATGGACAGGGAGGCCTGGCGTACTGCAGTCCATGGGTCGCAAAGAGTTGGACACGACTAAGCGACTGAACCGAACTGATAGCCCAGAAGTAATAAACATTTATTTTCAGTTTTAATTATATATTTTGGACATATTTATCCCATTAAAATTCAGAGGTACAAAAGCCATCTTTCACTTTTAAGTAAAAGAGAAACTCAGTGAGTTGGTGATTTGTTTGTTGTGACATCTCCTTTGAAAGGCATGTAAGAATTCAACCAATAGCCTAACTTTAACCCTGGCTAGCATTGTCTCTGCTTAGTTTATATGTCTAATGAGCACAAAATTAACAATGTTTTCTCTCCCCCTCTTCCTTTCTGCTTCCGTTTGTTTCATCTGCCACTGCCAACACTTTTCTTCCCATCAGCAAATGGTTTGTTTCATGTTTTCCTAATTTGTGAGCATGTATGTGAGTGTGTGTATATGTGTGGCTTCCCACTGTACTTCCATTTTATGGCTTTTTTTTCCCCCTTCCTGATACGATACGTACCTCCCAACAGGATACAGTCTTACAAAATACAGTTTGAGAAGTGAGATAAGAGTCAGTGGGTCTGCCTTCAATGTCAGAAGGGATATTCTGCAGAGAATAACAAAGCCAGTGATTTCTAGCTTTGTTTTGTAATTGCCCCAGTGGGAGAAAAAGGCCAAATATTTCTTTGAAAAATAACTACTGGATGGGCCAAAAAGTTTGTTCAGATTTTTCATCTTACAGAAAAACCCCAAATGAACTTTATGGCCAACCCAATATGTATGTATGAGTGTACACACACACACATACACATAATATTTTTTTAAATTGTAAAGTAGGATTTTTTTTCCTGATGGGCATTTAGAGAAATGAGACGTTTTCATTATTTGTAGAAGAGAGGAGAAACCATTTTTAAGTTAAAGTGCCCTTGCTTTGAAACGTCGGACAAGAGCATTTCCTCCTGGTGGTCATCTCCTTACCCCACTGCCCCGAGTCTGGGCCCCGGTCCCCTGAACGCTGCCCTCTCAGTGTGTGCCTGCATCAGCTGAAGGGGAGCTTAAGTCTTCTCTTTAAAATCCTTATTTTGGGACTTCCCTGGTAGTCCAGTGGCTAAGACTCCTCTCTTCCATTGCAGGGGGCAAGAGTTCAATCCCTGGTCAGGGAACTAAGATCCCACATGCCATGGTGTGTGGCCAAAAACAGAAAAACCCCAAAACAGCTCCTTCCTTTTTCTCTTAAGACCCACTTACCATTCCACCATAACTAATAAGTGAATGTTAAATTGTGGTCTGAGGAGAATTTTCGTAAGCTTTTTCAAATCTACAGCACGTGAAAGTCCTGGATTGGTTCTACAGTTTAGCTGAACAAGTAACTGGTTGTGTTTTTTGTGCAATTGTGTGTGTGTGTATAAACATTTAAAAAGGGTTGAGTCACGGCTGTTGCTGGCCCCTGTGACTTGAGCACACTCTGCATCCACAGCCTGAGTATAATTGCTGACTTCCTGATGCTCCAGGGTACATATTTCAGGCATTTTACACATTTTTTTCCCCCCAAACAAATTATAGATTGGCTTCCTCAATTCAGTAATAGTAGACCTTCTGAGCAAGAATCAGGACCTCCAGATGAAGGTGGAGATGATGTCAGAAGCAGCCTTGAACGGGGACGGGGATGACCTGAACAATTACGACAGGTACTTCATGTTCAGCGATGCTGGGTGGAACCTTAGTTCCGTCTGAATACGTGTGTGTTTTTAAAGTTAAGTTCTCCAGAGAAGGACAGATGTTGCTTCTATGTGGAATCTAAAAAAAAAAAGGATACAAACTTATTTGCAAAAGAGAAATAGAGTCACAGATGTAGAAAACAGTCTTAGGGTCAGCAGGGTGTAGGGGGAGGAGGGATAAATTGGGAGACTGGGATTGCCATATCCATATACACACTACTATATATAAAATAGATAACTAATAACGATCTACTGTTACAGCATAGGGACCTCTACTCAATACTCTGTGGTGAACTATATGGAAAAAGAATTTATAAAAAGAGTGGATATATGCATGTATATGGCTGGTTCACTTTACCATACAGCAGAAGGTTACACAACACTGTAAATCAACTATAATCCAATAAAAACTAAAAGAAAAGGAAAATATACATATAACTGAGTCACTTTGCTATGCAGCAGAAAATTAACGAAACATTATCAATCAACTGTACTTCAATATTTTTTAAAAAGTTAGGTTCTCCAATAGATTGGAGAAACAATTGCTTTGTGATTATTTGGCCATAAACTGACTTCCACAAATCTGGCAAGAGAGTGGAAATGGTTTGAACTGAAGATTTTAAATGCGGACCCTAGTACTTGTACTTGAGGCTCTGCAGACTGGGCCAGAATCCTTGCTTGTGTTTTATTCATTACAAATGATACTGTCTCTTGAATTTCTTCTGAGGGAGATGAGTTTCTGATCATACACATTGGTAACATTTGCAGCGATGACCAGGAAAAACAGTCCAAGAAGAAACCCCGCCTCTTCTGTGACATATGTGACTGCTTTGATCTGCATGACACAGAGGATTGTCCCACCCAGTCCCAGATGTCTGAGGACCCTCCCCACTCTGCACACCACGGCAGTCGGAGCGAGGAACGCCCATACTGTGAAATCTGCGAGATGTTTGGGCACTGGGCTACCAACTGCAATGATGAGGAGACCTTCTGATGAAGCCTCCCAGCCAGAACTGGGCTCTCTCAGATGTGCTAGCATGTAGGCAACTGACCACCAGCATTTTGCGTGCAGAAAGAACAATAAAGGGGGGTTTTCACCTCTGATTTTTGTCTTCTTGAGTTTTAAAAAGTATTCCATTGCACCAGATGCCATTACACTCATCGTCCCTATGAGGGAGACCTCACAGAACGACTCCTACCCTGCCAGTACCTTATTTAAGTTAACTTTAAATTATACCGTTCCTCTTCATATTTGCACTAAAATATTTCCAGGCTGCATTTGTATATTTAGATGTTTGGGTTAAGCTTTGACACTGGAATGAGTTGGAAAAAAAAGTATGCCACTTTGCATTTTCATCTACTCATTTATTTTATTTTTAGTCAAAGAAATAGCTGAGTTCTTTGCACTGCCCGACGTCAGTAGTGCCTTTATTTAAGGCTTGATGATACTTTTAGGTGTGATTATAAAATCATGAACCAGGTAAAGGGAGGGGGAAGCCCCCAGACTGCTGTGGGGACGTTTTCTTATAATCTCGATGCTGCACCCACTTTACTGTGGTGTTTTGTTGATCAGTTTTGCATAATTTCAGCTTCTATATATTATATGTATATATTTTTGTAAAATCTATATTTTGGGGAAAAACCTATACAGTATGTCTTTCTTTTCAGATTTTTATCTTTATGAAAAAGGAAACACTTAAAATGTTCATCAGGACCTCACGGGCTAGGCCAGGATCAGCATCACGTGGCTTCGCAGCTGTGTGTTCTCTCTTCATTTTCTTTCTTTATCAGGAATAAGTAACTGGGAGAATTTTCTCTAGATTTTGTTTTTCTTCTCCAACAAATATCTCCAGCAGTTGGTTAATTAGATAATAAGCCACTCTAAAACACCTAAATGAACCAATCTACAATCTTTACAAGTTTTGTTTTTTTTTTTACTGTGTTTTTAGATGAATGTACGATGAGAAATTCAACATTAATAGTTTTGGATTTTCTTATCACAAAAAATAAAATGAAGGACCTCAACCACAAGTTTAGCAACCAGTTTGAATCTATTTATCTTCATTTGAATGTCTTTTAGAATATGTAAAAAGTAATAAATAAATGTATCTTCCAGGAGACATGTATAATAAGAACTTCTATAACTGTATATATGCCTTTGATATATTTTCCCCTCCAGATTATCAGCTATGTGTTTGACAAGTGAAAAATAAATATGTAATCAGTTGAAATTTGGGATTATAAACAAACATATCATAATAGGAACTGTCTCACAAACACAAAATGTAAAGCAGTATTAAAATCCAAGCAAACAGGTGTTCTGTATCTACTTTAATAAATGGTTATTCTTTTTTGCTAGTATAGTAGACTGGTATTATTCTCAGGTTTATTTGTCCTAATGGTTTTTCTTTAGATGAGCAAGCACCAGAGATCCAAATATCAATTTCTACTGCAGTCTGTTGAGAAACTGCTTTTAAGAATTATCTCAAAGCATTCTGTGACCCACTCAGCATAAAATAAATACCCAAGGTGGTTATCCATTGCTTTGTCTCACTATTATTACCTGACAGAAATGTAAGTGGCACTGTGCAGTACCAGCTACCTATTAAAGAATGAAGTGTGCAAAGAAACTGTGAAAGCTCCTGTGATATTTACCAAAATGATGACTGAACCAAGCAATCTGGTTTTATGAGCTATGATCCCCACACAGGTAGATATTTTCAAAGCAGAGATACCAGTTGAACATGACCAGAAAAGTACCCTGACGGTAGTCCGTGACTTCAGCATTGACAGAACTGACGAAAAGACTCAAACTATTAATCTACACTTATTGTGATCATTTCTCTCTCTCTCTCTCTCTCTCTCTCTATATATATATATATATATATATATATGTATGTATGTATATATCTCAAATCATGTTGTACACCTAAAATGAATGTTAAATGTCAATTATATCTCAATAAGAAATACATTTTAAAAAGAAAAGTTTCTAACACTAAACAAATTATTTTAAAATTAAGTATGTTTGGGGCTTCACTGGTTGCCCAGTGGTTGAAGCCCAGTGGTTTAAATTCAGGAGGCACAGTTTCCATCCCTGGTTGGATCTTGATGATGCATGGTGAGTCCGAAAATTTTTGATAGTCAAGTATTTTTGATAGAGTCAAGTTGAGAGTGGATGTAAGTAAATACGTGTAACTGATTATCACCTCCAAATTCCACTCTACTTATTCATATGTGAAAAAAAAAAAAGTGAATGTGTTAGTTGCTCAGTGTTGGTTGACGCTTTGTGACCCCTGGAATGTAGCCCACCAGGTGCCTCTGTCCATGGGATTCTCTAGGCAATAATACTGCAGTTCAGTTGCTCAATGGTGTCCAACTCTTTGCAACTGCATGGATGGCAGTACGCCAGGCTTCCCTGTCCATCACCGACTCCCAAAGCTTACTCAAACTCACGTCCATTGAGTCGGTGATGCCATCCAACCATCTCAACCTCTGTCGTCCCCTTCTCCTGCCTTCAATCATTTCCAGCATCAGGGTCTTTTCAAATGAGTCAGTTCTCTGCATCAAGTGGCCAAAGTATTAGGAGTTTCAGCTTCAGCATCCTTCCAGTCCTTCCAGTGAATATTTAGGATGGATTTCCTTTAGGATGGACTGGGTGTGTAGCCGCTATTCCCTTCTCCAGGGGATCTTCCCCACCCAGGGATTGAAACCTCCTCTGTTAAGTCTCCTGCATTAGCAAGTGGATATTTTAGCATTAGCAGCGCCAAGGTAATTGCTTAGTGCATCCTTTCTTTGTAACAGTGTATAGAGGATTGAAGGGAGCCAAGCAAGACCAAAAGTTTTCAAGCCTCATTCAGTTAGGTCGCTCACTTGTGTCCAACTCTGCCACCCCATGGACTACAGCATACCAGGCCTCCCTGTCCATCACCAACTCCCAGAGTTTACTCAAACTCATGTCCATTGAGTCATTGATGCCATCCAACCATCTCATCCTCTGTAGTCCCCGTCTCCCGCCTTCAATCTTTCCCAGCATCAGGGTCTTTTCAAATGAGTCAATTCTTCACATCAAGTGGCCAAAATACTGGAGTTTCAGTTTCAGCATCAGTCCTACTGAATATTCAGGACTGATTTCCTTTAGGATGGACTGGTTGGATTTCCTTGCTGTCCATGGGACTCTCTAGAGTCTTCAACACCACAGTTCAAAAGCATCAATTCTTTGGCGCTCAGCTTTCTTTATAGTCCAACTCTCACATCCATATATGACTACTGAAAAAACTATAGCTTTGACTAGATGGATCTTTGTTGGTAATGTCTCTGCTTTTTGATATGCTGTCTAGGTGGGTCATAGCTTTTCTTCCAAGGAGCAAGAGTCTTTTAATTTCATGGCTGCAGTCACCATCTGCAGTGATTTTAGAGCCTCCCCCCCCCACCCAAATAAAGTCTGTCACTGTTTCCACTGTTTTCCCATCTATTTGCCATAAAGTGATGGGACCAGATGCCAACGATCTTTGTTTTCTGAATGTTGAGCTTTAAGCCAACTTTTTCACTCTCCTCTTTCACTTTCATCAAGAGGCTCTTTAGTTCTTCACTTTCTGCCTTAAGGGTGGTGTCATCTGCATATCTGAGGTTATTGGTATTTCTCCTGGCAATCTTGATTCCAGTTTGTGGTTCTTCCAGCCCAGCATTTCTCATGATGTACTCTGCATATAAGTTAAATAAGCAGGGTGACAATATACAACCTTGACGTACTCCTTTCCCAATTTGAAACCAGTCTGTTGTTCCATGTCTAGTTCTAACTGTTGCTTCTTGAACTGCATACAGATTTCCCAAGAGGCAGGTCAGCTGGTCTGGTATTCCCATCTCTTGAAGAATTTTCCAGTTTGTTGTGATCCACACAGTCAAAGGCTTTGGTGTAGTCAATAAAGCAGATGTTTTTCTGGAACTCGCTTTTTCTATGCTCCAACGGATGTTGGCAATTTAATCTCTGATTCCTCTGCCTTTTCTAAATCCAGCTTGAACATCTGGAAGTTCACAGTTCACATACTGTTGAAGCCTGGCTTGGAAAGTTTTGAGCATTACTTTAGTAGCATATGAGATGAGTGCAATTTGTGGTAGTTTGAACATTCTTTGGCATTGCCTTTATTTGAGATTGGAATGAATACTGACCTTTTCCAGTCCTGTGACCACTGCTGAGTTTTCCAAATTTGCTGGCATATTGAGTGGAGCACTTTCACAGCATCATCTTTTAGGATTTGAAATAGCTCAGCTGGAATTGCATCACCTCCACTAGCTTTGTTCTTAGTAATTCTTCATAAGGCCCACTTGACTTCGCATTCCAGAATGTCTGGCTCTAAGTGAGTGATCATACCATCGTGATCATCTGGGTCATGAAGATCTTTTTTGTATAGTTCTGTGTATTCTTGCCACCTCTTCTTAATATATTCTGCTTTTGTTAGATCCATACCATTTCTGTCCTTTCTTGTGCCCATCTTTGTATGAAATGTTCCCTTGGTATCTCTAATTTTCTTGAAGAGATCTCTGGTCTTTCCCATTCTATTGTTTTCCTCTATTTCTTTGCACTGATCACTGAGGAAGGCTTTGTTTTTTTATCTCTCCTTGCTATTCTTTGGAACTCTGCATTCAGATGGGTATATCTTTTCTTTTCTCCTTTGCCTTTCACTTCTCTTCACAGCTATTTGTAAGGCCTCCTCAGACAACCATTTTGCCTTTTTGCATTTCCTTTTCTTGGGCATGGTCTTGATCCCTGCCTCCTGTACAATGTCATGAACCTTCGTCCATAGTTCTTCAGGCACTCTATCAGATCTAATCCCTTGAATCTATTTCTCTTACACTGTATAATCATAAGGGATTTGATTTAGGTCATACCTGAATGGTCTAGTGGTTTTCCCTACTTTCTTCAATTTGTCTGAATTTGGCAATAAGCCTCTTTCACCAGATCCCAAATAGCCAGTTAAACACTCAAAGTATTGA